CACTGAGTGAGGATGTTGGGGAGGTGATGTCATCCGAGGAGAAGCTCTAGGATGTTGGGGAGGTGGTGTCATGCGAGGAGAAGCTCTAGGATGCTGCTGCGAGGTCGTACCATGTCTCTGGTTTCCAGGTGAGCTCCTCTGTCTAGCAGCTCCTGCACAACATCAGGGTGACCCTCCTTCGCTGCATAGATGAGAGCTGTCCAGCTATCCTGGTGAACATGTAGGGAAGCGGTAGTAACAGCTAGATATTTGCCCGCCTGCACGAACAACGCAGGTGTGTACGAACCCACCCAGAAAACACTTGCGATCTACACAATGTTATCAGAAGTAAAATTAGCAAGTTATTTATACATTTTTACTCCCGGTGTGACGTTTATTTGCGCGCATTTTTTCTCTTACCATTGGTGTAAGCAGCTTTACTCCGAGTCATTCATGACAGTGGTTAATTAATGGTGATTAATGGTAGTTCAATTGAATCATTAATTACTGATAACTGTATTTACACGGCTACACCTACACATCCTTAGCTCATAGGAGATAAAACCATGCAACTTACAAGCAAATATTGGCTTAGTTGCAAATATGTAACTGGCTTAGAGCCCCACCCCACCCCTACCTTGTTGTCAGTGTACCATGTATGCTTAGTCCTCTATATCTACAGTCAATCTGCATAATCTCTACAAAGTCTACAATGCATCTATATGATCGCTATAAAGTCTGCAATGGGCCGGGCTCGTGTTTTTATCCACACATAAACAACAACTCTTTCTTCTCAGCGCTTGGTGACTCGTTAGTTGCCGCGGTGGGTGTAAACAAGAACCGACACAGCGGGGGCAGGGGCAGCTCAGCCTACAGTAACTGCAGCAGCGAGTGCTGCAGGGGTTGGCTGCCCTAACGTCGACACGCGCGACCGTTTGCTTTCCTCTCTCCTGTAACCTCGCTATCCCGACTGCGAGCCCCCGCATGCCTCCAACCACCAACGCTATCCAGGTCGCCGGGTAGGCTTCGTTTCATCGACAGCCTTCTTGCAGCGACGATGCGGGAAGGAAACAAGAGGCTGTGACCACAGCAGGGATTCTAACCCCTGATGTTTAGTCGTCGTCAACGACAACTAGATAACCAATGCACCACGCCGCGCCACCGGCTTACCCAGTCGGTTTTGTTCACGTCGGCTCCACGGAAAACCAGCTCTCGCACGATGTGAAGGTGACCTTTCTCACTGGCAAACATCAGCGGCGTGCCTCCATTCTATGTAAGCAAGAGAGTGAGAGTCTGAGATAACCGCACACACTGTCACACTGTCACAGACCCATATAAAACATAAACCACCTACTACCTACATACCTCTGAGCAGTCATTAGGCGTTATGCATGAACGTATCAATCCTAGACTGTCAGGTTAAGTTTAATATTGTTAGCGACATTACTACAAAGATTATTAATCCTTGTACGTAGTTACAAAAATAGTAATAATAACAGCAACAAAAACAGCAACAACCATGATAACGAAAAAAATGACCATAATAATAATAACTAGAGCACTCGGAGAGTAGTACCGCGCAGTGCTCCATGCAGTTGTCGCTTACCAGTAATACTGTATGCGTCGTGCAGGCATTGTGCTTTCGTAATATATACACCGCCAGGCGCCAGTGCATAATTTTCGAGCCCATTAACAATATAGACATAAAGGCAAGTGTCAAGTAATTTATTTCTTGTTATACCACCGTATCGTAAAATATCGATATCCGGAAGTTGTATCGCGATATATCGAGTTTTCAAAATATATTGCAATATACCGATATACCGGTATATCGTTACACCCCTAACTATTACTATAATTATATGTGAGGTTACACACGATGGACTGTATAGTTAGTGGCTGTGGGTGTACGCCCCTCCGCCTCGTGTGTACCTACCAGGTCCGTCTGGTCGTCCACACTCTCCACCCACGTGTCGAGGATGAGTCGAGCCTTGGACAGGTCTCCCTTCACGATCGAGCTGTAGAGATTCTGAAGCCCCAAGGCAGCCATTGCCTCGCTCTGCTTCTCTGCAACGATAGAGAGAGATGCAGCATGAGTGCTAGCAGATGATGTGTGATGTTGTATAGAGAGGGCGCTAGCGCATAACGCATGTAATAACATTTCATCGTGGATGCATCAGCCGTGTCTGTCCTCCCTCGTGATGGACACTCACATATAAACTCAACCTGCTACACTCCCACCAGGGCATTGCTGGCCTTAGTAAAACACAAGGCCAGCTTTCACAGTGAGAGACTTCTCCCATTGTAAACATTAACAAAGCCATGTAATTTAACAAATTTATTTTAAACAATACTGGGTTTGTTATAAAACAAATGATTTCAGTTACGTCAATCAGTATTGAGCTTAATACACGATCCACGTCAATAAACTACAAGCTACAGAAGGTAACGTGCATCCAGCACAATTAGCCTGAAGTATGAGGGCTACTAGTGCTGAGAGGGTCTATGTCCCCCAGGGTACTGCCGGAACGTACCCTGGGTACGGTCTGTTA